TCGAACAATCATATTTTCCAATCCTATTTAAATCTCTCGTTCAACGGCGAAATTTCGAAGGAAGAACGCAGGAAGGAAGAACAATGAGAACGCGTGATACGAATGGAGGGAAGGAGGAGGGGAAAAGGATGAACTGTAAAGAAAAGAATACGGCAGAAGGATAGGAAACATTTCCGAGAGTAATTTTCCACTGGGTGGCGTCAAGAAATGTTTATTCATAAGTTACTAGAACGTGCACGATGTACGATTGTCCCGCGACATTTTACATGGCCGTCGTTCCCGGCACCACCACCACCACCACCACCACCATTCACAGTTTGCCTGTTTGCTCTCTTCCACTTTTTTTTCACGTACAGATGCGAAAATGCGCCGACACGTGTATACACGTATACAATGTGGGCAAAAATTCAGGCGATGATGCATTCACGTTCTGGAAATGGATCGAAGTCGAAAAAGAAAGAGAGAGAGAGAGAGAGAGAGAGAGAAAAATAATAATAATAATAATAACGAAGAAATACGTTTTCACGTTATTTCGCGTTATGTCGTGGAAAATGGAAAACTCGAGCCTTCTCCAATCTCGAATCGTAACACCAGTTGCAAATGGAACGAAATAACACGTTTTCCATAACAGTCTTTTGTCGATTAGAGAATTACTGGGTAAATCTGGATTATAAATTCGCAATTCCGGATAATCGGATCGGAGAGCGTTGTATATCCCGCAACGCAAAATACGAATGGAGAAAATCTTTCGTAAACGTTTATCGGATGACACGTGTAAATATCGGTGGAGGACGCCTTTCCAGGCAACGCTTTTCCACGTCTGGTCCCAACTGAGAACAAAGCTTCGCCTCCACGGTAATATTTCTGCGAGGTGATCTCTCGGTAAAACGGTGCAGTTGCCGAGTTTAGTTACACTCGGGATATAAATAAGAAAAAAAAAAAACAAGAAGAAGAAGAAGAAGAAGAAGAAGAAAAAGAAAGAGAGAAAGAAAGAAAAAGGGGTGGTATTACACGGTGGATTCGATATCCCCGGTTGAATCGTTCGTTAGCCGTTTTCTTATTTCCTGCTTTCTTTTCGCTCCCTTTTCGCTTTCTTTTCCCCTTGATTCGAATCCTCCTCGGCAAGTCCTAGTTGGCGCGCCACGCTTACTTCCCGGTTATTCTTATTCCGACCATCGTCTTTTGTTCGAGAAGAGGAAGGAGTAGGCAGATTTTAGAATGGGAGAATAGAAATGGCGCGGTCAGAGATACCCAGGGATTTATCATCGGGTCACGGTGCACTGGCCACGATATTAAATTAAGTTACGCGCACCTTGGAATTTTTTATTATCACCGGGGAGCAAAGGAACACGCTTTTCCCTCCGGAGATACGCCACGGTGCTCGTCTTTTTTCATCTTTTCTCCTCGTCCTTTCCCCCTTCTTCTTCTTCTTCTCAACGATTCCGTTGCCAAGTTACGTTGACCTGTTTATATTTTTAACTCAAAGTCTGCTGCCTCCCTTTCCCTTCCCTTTTCTTTCTTTTATTTTCGCCAACGATTCAATATGGGTTGAAATAGAAAAGAAGAAGAAGAAAGAGACGGAGAAAGAAAAATAAGCGTATCTATTTTAAATTAATCGATAACCACGAGTGTGAAACGAAGAAGCGAAACACGAGTGCAAAATAAATTTGCAAAATAAATTTGACAAAAATACTCTTTGGAAGAAAATCATTTTAAACTCGTAACCACCCCGTAAATATCGATGGTGATTCGTTTCGTAATCGCGAATTTGCTTTGCGTATAATGAAAACCTGAATCGATCGATCGAGGATTTGGAAGAACGCGCAGAAGAGGCGAAGAGGAAGAAAGTACACACGATTGGCCACTTACCAGCTCGAAAAGAGTATCACGTCGACGGCCAGGGTTTTCCCGTATTCCCGGGGGCCTTCTGCGTCCCGTTGGTCGAACGAGCAGGAAGGATCCGAAGCTTCGCGTCGAAGTGGGAAAAAGTAAAAAAGCCGGTCAGTTGGCAAGTTTCGGTCAGTTGGGCGAAGGAGCGCAAGCGTCGAAGATCTGGTCGCGGGATGTATCGATATATATTTCTCTTCTTGACTCGCGGGTTGTCGGTACCGTGCGTTCCCTGCGTTTCACGGTTTCCGATCGTTCAAACCAGCCCCATTCGCGTACTTTCTCTCGGGCTATTTTGTATTCCAACATCCTTCCTCGTGGTTGGAACGAGCACCACCGTCCCTGGGAGTACCACGCGGACAAACATCGAGCTAGAAACTGCGATACGTCGGCCAGAGTACGGCCACGGCTCACCCCGGACATCCTCTCGCGCGAGGAACGCATGCGTCGCGTTTAAACCAGCGCCGAAACTACCCTCTCTCCTCTCTCTCTCTCTCTCTCTCCC